CTCTCTCAAACCATTTTGTGGTTTCGATGAAACTACTTATGCCCGATATGCTTTTAGTGGAAATCCATTCAATGTTTGGTGCTTGATGGGTTCCAAGTGTTTTGTGTCGGATATGTGCTAGAGCTGGGCATTCGCAGAGAAAGTGGAAGATTGTTTCCTTGTKCCCTGCTACTCCGCAGCCACGGCAGATGTCGTTGTAGGGCAAACTTATTTTGGATGCGTGTTCCCCAAATGGCCAGTGCCCTGTTGTGGTAGCTGTTACTCTGTAAGTACTTTTTCTTGACCTATTTAGTAAATCATTGGTTCTTTTCCTGTCATATGTTCGCCATAATTGTTTAGTTAAGACGCATTTTGTACTGGTTTTCCACCAGTTATTTGCAACTTGTTGAAATTGCCTGTTGATCTCTCCTTTGATCGATCCTAGTGGGCTTGGTATTATCTCCGCCTCGGATTTGTTGAGGAAAGCTCCTGCCTTTGCCAACTCGTCTGCTTTTTCGTTACTGAAAATGTTTCTGTGGCCGGGAATCCAGATCAACTTTAGTTGGAGCTTGTCTTTTAGTGAGCTTAGTGCTCTCTTGCAGTTGCGAACTACGCTGGAATTTGTCATGGCTGAAGACAAGGCCAGGAGCGTCGCCTGGCTATCCGTAAATATAGTTGAAGTATTTGTATTCCCGTGGTTTTCTAATAGAGCTTCGCAGGCTTTTTCTATGCCTAGTACTTTTGCTTGGAAGATGCTAGCCGAGTTCGGTAGGTGTATAGAGAGAGACAGTTTCGGTTGATCGGCCCTTTATGTACGCATGTTGGGACTTCGATAACTTCTCCGCCATTATTGTTCTTACATGTAGACCTATTAGCCTTTCCAGTACCTTCAGCATATAGGAGGTAAGGCTTATAAGTCTAAAATCCTTGGCATTCTCGTGTGTTCTTCTGCCTGGTTTTGGAAGGAACACAACTTTACTTCTTTTTCAGCTTCTTGGGATGTAAGATAGTTGAATGCTAACTTTGTATATATTTTTAAGCCTTTGAACCATTGGTTCTACCAGTTTTTGCAATATTATGGGCATAATCCCGTCTGGACCTGCTGCCTTAAATGGTACAAATCTATTTATGGCATATTTGATTTTGCTTTTGTCTACTATTTGGCTTTGATAATCCGCTGCGTTCAACGGTGGTTCTGATTGAACCCTCGTTGAAAGTGTTTGCTGACTCCCGGGGAAGTGCGTTGTAATTAGTACCTCCAGAGACTCTTTTGCCGAGGAGGTCCACTCATCACTTCCCCCCGCCCTAATGTAGGCAGTATTAATATGATCTTTGGATAGCATTTTGCTCAGCCTAGCGGTTTCTCTGCAGCTTTCTATAGATGTGCAGAAAGATCGCCATGAGTCGTTTTTAGCTTTCCGGACTGCTTTTTTGTATATTTTCATAATATCTTTATATGGCTACCAGATTTTGGTTCTAAAACTCTCTTTTAAAGCTATCCTTAGTTGTGTTCTTAAATTCTTGAGTTCACTGTTCCACCAAGGAAGATACTTTCTCTTTTTCAAAACTGTTAGTGGAGTAGATTTATTGAAAGTTGTGGTTAAGATTTTTTCCAACTTCTCTACTTCTGAATCTAGTTCTTGAGGATTTCCGATACTCTTATTGCCTCCTTTTCCGAGCCATTTTGTTGCTATACTGGTAAATTTTTCCCATGCTGTTCTTCGAGGCTTCCGGTATGTGAGAGGAGTACTGTATTTTCCACGGATGCTGAAGAGTATCCAGGAGTGATCCGACATGGAAGGCTAATCGGATACCCTCCAGTTATCCACAACGAGACTGTCTATGTCTGTTGATAGCGTGAGGTCAAGCACTTCCTCCCACCCCGGAAACCTATCAGAGCTTGGGAAAATAAAAGTCGGTTTATCGCCCTTGTTACATATACTTAGATTAATATTAAGAATATATTGCAAGAGTGACTCACCTCTGGTGTTTATGCTGGAGCTACCCCATATGGTGTGCCTTGCGTTTGCATCACACCCTATTAGGACATCTTCCTTCTTGTTCTCCTCTACTAGCCTGATGAGCGGGGCAGGTGGTATGTCTTCGTCTTGGGCCAAGTAGGCTGAGACCAAGAAGAAGGGCTTTTCCTTCTGTTCCACCTTTACCACTGTGATATCTGCTGTGCTGTAATTAGGACAAAGAAATGCATTTATACCTTTATTGATAAGAATGCATGCCCTAGGTTTACCTTCGTTCATTGTGTATAACAGGTGTTAGTTGCTGCTGTTTAGCCCTTTAATGGTATCTTCTTTGACCCAGGGCTCCTGTACTAGGCTGATTTCGATGCCCCCCTCGTTCATGAGGGTTGTCAGATTCGCTGTAGCACTCTTCGAGTGCTGCAGGTTTATCTGTACGCATCTTAAGTTATTGGGCAACTCGGGTTTCTTCGACGCCCGCATTCCTTAGCAGCTGGCTGGCGTCGTCGATCTCTTCCGTGTCGTCTTCGTCAGCCGCTTTGTCGCCTTGGAAGATTCCGAAGCTGATTTTGTAGTCAGTCTTCTTGAGAGCCTCAACGGGCTCATCGCAAACCACCAGTATTAGTCTGTTGGCTTTATTTAGTTTTTCCTCTTTGATCAGCTGCCACTCATCTATACCAGGTATAGATTTGTTCTGCAGCTTAATGCACCTCAGGAGTGTTTCGCCTGGCTCCTCTAGTGGGGGTAGCCAAATGCGAGCACGAGCTCTTTGGAATGTCCCTGGCGGGTATAAGCCTCAATTGGAGGCATACAAAGGCGTTGCTGATTTTCGCAACACTACCCGTCAGAAAGTCAAGCGAGGCTTGGTCCGCGCACTTGATGACCCTATAGCCCCTGAGGGTCTCAGAGGAGTCAAACTCCGGGTGAGGACCCGCAGGATTGTCGAGTACAAAGCTTAGCACCATACTCGACAATCTGATGTCGATCTCCACCCATCTTTCCTGTAACGTGCTCGGAGAGGAGGAATTTCCATCTATGATGGCCACTTGCAGGCTATCCCTGGCTACATCGCAGAAATGCCTTGCCGTTGTCGCGCTACTGTGTTCGCCTTCACTCCGCCTCGATTTTTAGACAGAGTTTCTGGTATTTCTGTAGTAAAGCGATTCCTTTTCTGTGAAGTACTCTCCTGTTTATGCTCTTCTAGAGGTTCTGATTGCTTCCTTTTCAGGTAGTTTTCATACTCCTCCTATTGATTTGAAGCGCTTTGTTTCTGCCTCATCAACTGGGGTACCGGCTGCCTGGCCTTGGGCTATCTTCCCTAGTATGAAAACTGCCCTCTGATACCGGTTTTTCCTCACCTGATTCTGGAATTTCTTGCGCTTCTGTTTTTTTTTTTTCTCCTTTAGCTGCCAGTGCACTTTGGTTGGTGCTCATGGCAGCTTTTCAGGTGGACGCTTCCTCCCTTAAGACTTCTGTTTTTACTGCCGTATCTACCGGTATACTTTGGTTGGTATGACCGGCGGTACTCTTACTCGTCTCTTGGCTGGAGGCGAGTAGTTCGTCTGCTTCGGATTCCGTAATGGGAATCCGGTAGTTCATGTCCTTAGTCGTCGCTGTTGTCGTCATTTTAGTTGTTGTTGTTGTTGCTGTTGTATTGTTCATATTTTGGTCCCACGAGTAAGAACGGAAAGGGTTGGTCACTCGTCTGCAGAGCCGGTATGCGGAGAGAAGGCTTTTATACCGCCGACCTCGCCCGGGCACCGGAGGGAACCGTTCGCGATCAGCTATTTATTACCCCCCGCTGACCATTCAGCCCTCGGCACGGGTACCTCGACACCTTGGCTTAGGGTGGYGTTGGTGCGGGTATCCTCATACTTCCACAATAAGAAATGGGCGTAAAACCTAGGGCTTATTCATCCATATCACTATTGTGGGAATTATGAGGTATCCCTCTTAGTTCGTAAGATTAGAGTGCGTTTCCTTTGGGATGCACACTTTACTCTTACTTAAGCCCCTTCGCCATGACAAGGCGACCAACTTCGAAGAGTTATAAACAATTTTTTTGATGACATCTGTCGGAGAAATGGCTGGGTGAATGAGATGCGTTTTTCCACGGGCGGATTTCTCATGTCTGGATCATCTGAAACACAAAAACCCAATTTATTCTTAAAAAATATGTGAATGGTTATCGTCCCTACTAGAATCATACAAAAATGTTGATAAATAAAAAAAGGGACCGCCGTTACGCACTAATTCGCAGGACCAAGGTGGGCGATAACTGCCTCTTCAGGACCTACTTCCAGGGTTATTCATGTAGTCTTTTGCTTCTTCGCTGCCTTACTTTCATTCTGAGTTTGACTTGTCTTCCTCTCTTTGTTGCGTCCGTCGGTCGCTAGGCGCCTTTTCATGGCTTTTGTCTTAGAATTTATTTAACTCAGAGGCCATTATATCCGGTGGCATAAGATATGATATGATTGTACTCACCTCGTGCGACGCCGTTCTGAACGCACAGGTAACTCTAAAGGCGCATAACCTGTACATAGCCTTTGCCATATTGACACAGGTTTTTTGACGTAAGGCTGTCACCCATATCGGATCTGCACACATAAGCCTTACCTGGCTAACTTTAGCCAGCAGAGCTCTCCTACTTTGACTTGGGCTACCAATGTTTGCCTTGATTCTCGGCAGAACCGAAGCCACTTTAGCCGCCTTACCACGGGCCTTTTCAATGTACGCCTTGAAATTAAGCCTCGTATCGATCATAACGCCAAGGTACCTCAATGTATTTTGCTTTACTACGTTATATCCATTAAAGTTTAAGATTACCGTTTCTAGCCTTTTCCTGCTCGGGATAGTACTCGTAAGCCAGTCTTTAATTTTCGACACGGTCTCATTGCATATGTTCTGAATCTGGAAGATTTCTTTTGCTACGATCGTTACGGCAGTGTCGTCCGCATAGCCGATTATCTATGTTTCTTTTGGCAGCGGTAATCGTAACACCCCGTCGTACAACACATTCCACAGCAATGGACCTAGGACGAAGCCATGTGGTACTCCACCTGTCACCATGTAAGTTTTTAGACCTCTATCGGTATCGTACAGCAGTAGTCTGTCAGACAAATAGCTGCTAATTGTTCTCAGAATATACCCCGGGGTTTTTCTTGCCTCTAATGCCCTTTGAATATGTGGCCAGTACGCCGAGCTGAAAGCGTTTTTCATATCAAGCGTAAAACCCGAGCAGTATTTTTTATCTCCATGCATCCATCTGGTGCCCCTCTATGGCCTTGGCCGCAATCCCCGTTACTTTTCCAATTGCGTCGAAAGTGGACCAATGTCTTCTGAATCCAAATTGGTTTTAAAATAACCCTGGATACTCTTCTACAAGGTGCTGTTCTAGGCATGTGCAAATCAGTCTTTCCAGTATTTTGGCCATCGTGTCGATCTTGCAGAAAGGGCGAAACGCACTCGGCTCTCCCGCCGCTTTTTTTGACTTCTGAAGAAGATTCAGCCGCTGTTTCTCCCAAACTTTCGGGAAAACTCCTTCATTTAGACATCGTGTGTGGAGTTCGGCAAAAATACTCTTGGTATGGTTGATGGCAATTTTCATTGCCTTGTTCGGAATGCCGTCAAGTCCTGGTGCCTTTGCGTTGCCAAATCCCTCTGTACTTCCATTACCAGAGAATGTATAATGAATGAAGTTCGGCCATTGGTTGTCCGTGACAACGGAGTTTATGTATGAAACAATGGGTGTATATATGTATTTACATAAAAAATTGTGCTTACAAACATTCTGCGATTGATTCTTTCAAATTTGTTTACATGAACACAAAATTACATACATACATATGTATGTGAATATGTGAACTTTATGCGTACGGTTTTTTAAATCTGTTTACATGTACAAATGATAGACGTTCTCTGTACATATTAAACGTTCTCTGCTCTGATTATACGCTCTCTGTTTATATATATTATTTGATTAGTTGGCAATGCGACACACGTAAACAAAACCAGCTGCCAGAGAAGTGATATTATTGCTGTGGTAAAGTTCATCGACATTAATATTCGTAAGGATATACACACATATCATAGTTGTACCCGTTCGATTGGGAATATAGACAAGTAATAGTTTTATAGAATGAAATATGGATTTGGAAAATCTTGATACCTACTTTATCGCCGAACGTTTGGAAAGTGGCAGTGGAGATTCGGGCGAATCGGAAAGCTCTGATAATGGTGGTGGCATCGATGATGATTCTAGTAGTTTGAGTTCGCGCACCACTGGTGGTAATGGTTGTGGCAACCCCTTCTCTCGACCTGAGAATAATCTTTTAAAAGGGTTGGTGGCTGCGCCACAGTTTAAAGATCGTTTCGAACAGCAAGTACAACAGCGTTGGACAAAGGAAGAGGATGAAAAAGTTGTTGAACTAGTACGACGATTCGGTCTAAAAAAATGGACATTAATTTCGCGTTACTTTAATGATCGAATTGGTAAACAATGCCGTGAACGTTGGTACAATCATCTCAACCCCAATGTTAAGAAAACTGCATGGACGGAAGAGGAGGATCGTATAATTTTTAATGCTCATATGGAATGGGGCAATCAGTGGGCGAAAATAGCTAAGCTACTACCAGGACGTACAGATAATGCCGTAAAGAACCACTGGAACTCCACCATGAAACGGAAATTAGATCCACATCGCTTAAGAGTTCTAAGACGCCTGTATCCTGATTTACAAGATTATCGATCAAATCTGAAAGCTCTGATAAAAGCGAGTGTCGCTGCATCTACACAACCGCAAGTGCAAAACGAACAGAGTCATGAGCAGCCGAGTACATCGGCCGTTGCGGCAATGCAAATATCAGCACAGCAGCAAGCCGCTAAGCCACCACCTACACGCCCACCACCAAATATATTGAAGCGTGCGCGTCCGCAAACAAAACTAGAACAACAATACTTAGAAATGTGCACAACAAATTCAACAAGTGGCTTCGATAATATGGGTGTAATTTCCCGTCAGTGGTTAAAATCGCAAGCGAAATTACCAGAGTCACCAGTTATCACACATATAAAACCCTTACCAATTTCCCCATCACAATTTTTCAATTCGCCATCCTATGAAGACATAAGCTTACGTGCCAGCACGCCTGCACACAAAGGTAGTGGGCGACCCGGAGTAGAAATCAAAAAGGAGTTGGAAAGTTCATCAATTGAAACGCCCCATAGAAGTAAGTAATAAAAAATTTTTAAAATAAGCTAAATTCAATGAAATTCATGCATGTTTTACAGGTATTTTAGGTCCACGTACGCCAACAACTTTCAAGGATGATCCAACTGCTGCCGATGTACTTGTTCATGACGAACAAGTGAATGACCCAGACTCTAGAAATACCGTTTGTGGTGGTGGTTCCACAATACAACCAACAAAGAAGGCACGAAAGTCATTGATTACCAGCTGGAGTGAAAATGTTATGCCCAGCATGGGTGTCAAACATGAAAAGAAACCATTACCTTACGAAACTGAGGCTCGGAGTAAATTTCTTACATCTAACGAGTCAATTGCTTTCTCACCCACAACTATAATTATGAAAGATACCTTATGCAGTGAGGCTGACTTACTACTTGAAACCAAGGAAGAAGCCAAAAAAGAAAATAGTCCCCAACAGCGAAAATGTCAGCAACAACAGAGTCAAAATGTATTGTCGATATTGCCGCCGCGTGAACGCAATAGACAACAATATTTGGATCCCAAATGGAGGCGTTTAGCATGCGGCCAAACCAAGGATCAACAATTCATGGTGCAACAAGCGCATGCATGCTTAAAGAATCTGTCGCTAATGCCGCGCTCACAGAAGCAAAAATGACGTGAACACAAAGGGGAAACTTTTCGAGGCAATTTACTAAACATAATTGTTGATTAAATAGGTATAGGCTTAAGAAAATACCATACATGTGTACACACATTCTTTGATGTGAGTACACACATATATTTACGAGATTTACTTATTTTTTAAATTATTTTTTCTATGCTACGATTGTTATCGTGTTAATTATAATTATTTTTGTACAATATACATACATAAAGTACACGCACATAAGGTTTTTGGTGGCTTATGCCACTTTCATACATTTTTATTTATGACAAAAGGGTATATTTTTTGTAAAAAGGCATTTGCAGCCGTTGCACAGCGATAGCATATAGAAATTAAGTCCAAAGAAGTTTGAGAAGTTTATCAGTACTCGATACATCTCTTAAAATGGTGTTTGCATGTATTTTTACATATGTATATACATACATACATATGAATGAATGAATGAATAATGATAAGGAATGCAGTGCGAACTTTGGTCTATTGTGCCTTCTCCTTACTCACACTGACTCGCTTAGACCCAGCCCATTAATGAAGTCCAGTAGACTACTTGGTGCTAGCGAGGCAATGCGATCCCTATCCGGTAACAACGCTCCAAGGGCCTTAAATCTGCGTCTACAGACTGTGCAGTCAATCAACAAATGCTCCGGAGTTTCAGGCTCCCTGTCGCAGAAACGGCAGTTGGCGCAAGCTGATAGGACCATGCTGTGCAGATGCCTATTTAGCTTGCAGTGCTCAGTGTACCATGCGACTAACAGCCTGAGTTTGCTCCTGGGGACGTTTATTACGATTTTGGCGTGTCTCATACCATGACTTTGTAGCCAGTGCTCCTCCCTGCCTGCTTTTGCCTCTTTACAGAGCGGCTTCTTCATGGAATGGGGACCCACGCCCGTAAAAGGTTCGGGTCCTACCATCCTGGTGGAGGCTGTGGAGCGGGCGAGCTCGTCCGCCAGTTCATTGCCGGCTATATATTTGTGACCAAGCACCCAGATCATGTGTACCTGGTTTCTTTCCGCAAGGCTATTCAGCCTCTCCCTACACTCCTGCACAAGAAGCGATTTGATCTCGTAAGAGGAGATCGCCTTTAGCGCCGCTTGACCATCGCTGAGAATGGCTATTCGYTCATTGCGATAGTTGCGATGGAGGTTTATTTCTATACACCGGCTTATGGCATAAACTTCTACCGGGAAAATGTTCTGGAACTCACCCATGGGAGCCTAGTGCGTGGGCCCACAATCCCTGCGCCGATTCCCTCCGACATTTTCGAGCTATCTGTGTACCACCATATTACCATAGTACTATTCCTCAACAACAGCTCGAGGTTAGAGTCGTTCCAACCGTCTTTGCTGCCGAGGGTAACCTTAAACTTTTTCCTGAGGTTAACCTTTTTGGTAGTACTATCCCTCGGGAGGAGGGCCAATGGTAACTTGCCACTTATCATTTCCATCCTCTGGGATGAGACTGCTTTGCCTTTTCCACCCCCTCTGCCGTTATTTGTAGAAGGGTGTGTTTGGCTACCAGACCGATGACCAAATGAATAGGAGTAAGTTCAAGAAGAACCTCCAGTGCTGCGTCGGACAGGTTCGCAGGACAGGTCCGTCATGCAGACACAGGCTGTAACTTCAGTAGCATAGTCTTAACCGATGTTTGCGCTCACTATCATGCTGTACAATCATCTAACTATCCTTGGCTTTAAACCCCAGGACCTTCCTGCCAGCCGATTGCACACCATWAAGGCTTTTGTCGCCTTGACCAAGGTCAGGTTTACGTGCTGCTTCCACCTCAGCGTGAAGTCTAGCGTCAACCCGAGGTATTTTACACTGTTGGTCATTCCTATCTCACTACCCCCCAGTGAGAGATTCCTAAGACAGAGAAGGGGCCTGCGTCTCGTAAACGGGATTACTGACGTCTTGGAGGGGTTAAGTTCAACCTCCCTACATCACCCCTTCGCTAGGTTGAGACCTCTTTGGATCAAGTCACAGAGAGTGTCTTCAGATTTCCCTTTTGCCATATTGACAATGTCATCCGCATGACACCGCCGGAAAGATTCCATCCACTCCCGGAGACTTGAATCTCTGGAACGAGGCCATCGCCCACCGGATCTAGTCCGCCGTAAACAGCTGTTTGGCAATGCTCCAATCCTCGCGGGATGGCCTGTATTCGATCACGGGTGGGCAGTGGGAAGTGCGCCAGCAGAAGCTCCATGGCCCTGACCTCCGCACTGGTCGTAAATGTCCCGTCGTCGCGCTTGATTGCTATTTCTACGTCCTTTGTGCCTCTGGCCAGAGCTTTGTGCAGCCGAGCCGCTTCTGGCGTAGTGGCGACATTCTCGCAGAATCTCCTTAAGTTAGCCTGCTAGCCTATAAGATGAGATAGCTCCGGTATTCTGACCAGAAACCCGTACGTTTCGCTCTGCTAAACTGGCTGCGTACTTTTTTCCGAAGGTCTGCTAGTTCTTTTGTCCACCACGGACAGTCTCGTCTGTCTGTAGGCGCTTTTAGGGGGCAACTGCCATGATAAGCGTTAATTACAGACTCATTCAGTTTAGAAAGCCTATTCTCCATCCCAAGGCCTGAAACGCTATTATCCGTCTGTCCCCTCCTGCTTAAATTATTGCTTAATATATCCCTAAAGGCGTCAGAATTCGCCTTCCGAGGGTTGCGTCTAGGGGGGAGTTGTCTAACCTCTACCTTTAGCTTGAACCTTATAATCCTGTGGTCTGACATACATATATGCGTCAGCAATTTACACATCATGTATCTATGTATGTGTAAGTTATAAATATAAATTGGCTATTAAGCAAAATAACAAACCATTATTTAAGTTTGATGATGAAATGTTTTCCTTTTTATTTTACATGTGTATAAAGTAAGAAAAAAGTTATAAATTAGGAGTAAAAACCCGGAGCACTCCTATCATGTAATCCAAGAACTTAAATTATTAACAATACATAAACGAATATTGTACCTACTCAAAACGAGAACACAAAGCGTATCTGAACTTTTTTATCAAATAAATATAAGATTTAAGGAGATAGAATCCGTATGTGTAGTGTTTTTTAATTCCGAAAAATGGCATTTTGCGGGCAAATGAAGAATCTCTGATCGAATTTATGGATATACGAATCTACATGGCATGTGTATGCATGTGTATTACACAAGTATTGAAGATTATTTTTTATTTCAAACACTAGTATAAGCAAAGCAAATACATTACTACATTCGTACCATAATCAAACATTCGTTGGACTAAAAATTAATTCAATTTTTTATCAAGCGTCACAGCATAGCTCTTTCGGCCCAAAGCCAAAGTCCAATACAATATCCACAATGGGAAATAAATAGCAGCAATCGCAGTATAAAGCCAATTGCCATAAATCTGTAAGAATTAAATATAAATTAAATAAATTTACATGCGCCATTTTAATATTTTCACGTACAATACTATCCATTAGACCATATGTTATGGCATCCAAAGAGGCGCTAATAGCGCGCACAGCCATGTCCTTCAGTGCCAATTCCGGGAATTCAAAAAGAATCAGCCATAATACCAGTAAATATATGACAATCATAGGGTTGAGCACAAATGTGTAAATACGCGTCAATTTCTGACGCAAGCCATTGTTGTGCTCGTTTTGTAGTAATATTGTTACCGGAGAGATGATCGCCGCCAATATGAAGCCCAAAGCGAAATTCAACAAGCCAGTAACGATCAACGCTACGCCCGTGAATATGAGCACACCAATATGCAGCAATTCAAGACCGGCCTCTGGGAGCGTGTAGAATAGTGGCAATAAAATGCCAATTAGTACTTGAACAGCCAAAATGACACCAACACTCCATTGGGTGCTAACGCCCATAGAGTTGAAGTAATCTCGGACATGTTGACTGTATGGTAAGGCGTTGCAGAAGAAGCCTAACAGTAGCGCTGTGACCATGTAAAGCAGCACCGAAATGTAAGGTAAATGTATTGGCAATCTTTCTTCATGTGTCGTTGTGTCCTCTTCCTCTGACGTTGAGTCATCTGCGCTTGTTGTGGTTAGCCAAAGCAGAAAAGCCTTAATGAACATGGGGCTAGCTAATGCAATAAGGCAGGGCATATAATCACCAATCGAAACGAAGCGGTCATTCTGCACTAATATATAGAAGAAGTAACTCTGGTGGAAACGTTCCAATAGATTGTTTAAACTACGCGAAATGCCCTCAACTGTTTTCAAAAGTGAGAGTGCAGTGCCATAACGATTGCTGTTATTGGTGTTGGTTGTGCGTTTCACAGCTTCAAGTGTCAGTGATTCTATGCGGTAACGATGGAATAGGCCGTGATTGCCATTGGGTACACCGGTCGCTTGGCTTTTTAACATTTCTACCATGTGACGTAAATTATCTTCCAATGAGTCACGGTTGGAGCGACGCTTCTTGCGTGGCGTATGCTTATAACCAGATGAAAGACCGCTGCGCGACGTCAGACGTTGCACCAAGTTGAACATATCTAAATTCGGCAACTGACCATTCAAACCTTCGATTTTTACGTCAATGTAATCTAATAAGCGAAATTAAGTTTAATGTTTGTAGATTTAACAAAGATTTAATCTATACATATACTTTACCAATGTCTAGATCTTGTATTTCTAAATTAAGTGCGGCTTGTAGCGCACCCGCGCGTGCAGGTAGATTTCCGCACCGCAAAATTGGTGAATCTTTTATGCCGCCTTCATGATAAGCCTCCAACCAGGCATGCATGCCCAGTTGTTCTTGTTCGGTTACTAGGAATACCAAATCTTTAGCCCAGTAATTTTTTTCTAAAGAAAATATAAAACTTTTATTTTACAAAATTATAAAACTTTATTCAATTCAAACTCACTGCGTGCAAAATCTGCAAATGCTAGTAACATTGGGACACTAGCCGTTATGTCGGTGTGCACAGAGTTAACAGCCCGATATGGCGCCGTATATACCACACCCTCAGTAGAGCTAATACGTGGTGCACGCAATATCCCATACACATTTTTGCCATGATATTCCTTGCCTGTGCTAAAAGGATAGTGAAGTGTGAAATTATGCACATGAGTTTCAAGTCCGATTTGATGCATCTTTGCTGCGATCCAAGCATGTGGTGTTGTGGATTTATGATCGGTACGCTCGCGTTGTAGC